TTAAGGATTTGATTATTTCTATGGGGGTAAGGGATAGGATAAGTATAAGCCATAAGGCTTCAGCCTATTCCTTTTTCGGTTACTGTTTGAGTACTTTTATGTAAAATTATAATCTGTTGTTGTTGTTGACTGAAATAAAAATTTCAATTCAATTCAAAAAAAATTCAAAAGTTAGATTTCTTTTGGTTGACTTGGTTGGTTGATATACAGCATAATTCAGCAAAGATTTTGAGGATTTAATATACATATAATCAAATTAAGTCAAATAAAACAATAATATTTTTTATTATAGTTCACATTGCAGATGTTAACTTTATGTTCATGGCGGTGCTGCCTTTATTGAATTACTGACATCATTGGTTCAGGTTTCTAGAGCTGCTTTCTCAGATCTGAAGCTTCTGCTGCCATTTCTTCCTCTGATCTCCACTTGGATGGTATGTCCTTATCCTCTTGATCGTGGTTTTGTAACTACAAAGACAATGAAGATGTGATATGTAATAATATATTGTCAGAACAAATTTGGATTGTTTTCTGTATTAACTAGTCCATGAAAATGCATTGACATATCAGCTGTTATTGGGTTTAAAAAATGTTTACAGAGTGCAGATTTTCTTCTTCAAAACTGTACATGAGACCACTCTTTAAGTTCAGTATGGAGACCCAGTGATCAGCTTTTGCTTGCACAAACTCATCATAATGAATTTGTTCCTCGACTTGTTTGTACTTGTCACTGTATATTCTTTTATTGTTTATAGAAAAAAAGCGAGAGCATATGTAAGAAGATTCAAAATATCAATTAAATAGTTCCACTTAGCACATCAGGTCAACACAGTGATTTATACGTAAAACCTAAACAGCTGGTGGAGCTTGCACTTCATAACTTGCTTGTCTTGTGAATTGTGAACTGCAAAGTGGTCACTTCCTGTCTGAAAAATATGACATGGTTATTTAAAAGAATCTAGTTTTCTACTGTACTCATAGAGATAGGCTATTCACACTCATGTAATAATCTGTCTCCTGGTATCTCTACCACACTCTTGAGACTGCTTGGAGACACAGGCTACGCCCACATGTACACGAGAATTGGATTGGAGTTTTGGATCACTGAAAACTGAGAAATTCCTCCAAGAACATCAGCTCGGTTTAATGTTGACTTTGGTGAGTGCCCGGTGTTTGATAACTTGTGTAAAGCGATCACTCAGCAAACTAATGTTAAAAAACCTCAATGTGAGCCCAAAGTATCACTGACCCAGCTGGGTGAGGCAAGTTCCGCTGAAGGCTGGAAAATAGGGGGCAGCGCTTACTCAGAGCTAGGTGAGGCCCCAGAGGCTGTTAAAATCTGCTGCTATTATGGCTCAGGTGCAGCATTTTTGTGGGGTTCAAAGTCCTCTTTATAGCTATACTTTGGCAAAACTTCCAATTTTTGCATCTGACTCAGCAAGAGCAGTCTGCATTGCATGCATTTCAGTTCTAGTGTCGATAGCAGCTTCTATCTGTTTGTCAAAGGAGCTTGCAAAGAAAAGCGTCTGGACTTCTTTAAGTTGCTTGAAGACGTTTCACCTCTCATCCGAGAAGCTTCTTCAGTTCTAAGGTCCCAGATATAAACCTAGTGGGAGTTTCCCCCCACAGAGGGACAAAAGGACCCCTGATGATCCTCTAATCGCCTGAGCCAAGGTGTGAAACTGGGCATGGGTCCCAATCAGCCAGAGTTTCGGGTGTGTTCATTGTGAAACCTGGCCCCACCTTATCATGCAAATTCCTGAGGTCAGATGGCCCAGGATGTGAGTGGGCGTTAAGGCGTCTGGGAAGGGATCTCAACCCATTACATTCATCATGCAAAATATTGGACATGAAATTAAGACAAATCTGTCTATGCATTTACGCTCCTACAAACATCTTCAGACTATGTCTCATTTGCTGGATGTGATATGGAAAATATAAATGGGACTGCTCTTACAATAAACCTTATGATCACATGCAAATTAAAAACAAACCTATTTCCATTTTGCTGCTGGGACTCCACTGTGGAGATGCACGTCTCATTTCTCCCCTTAGGCAGGAGCAGGAAGTATAGAGAGCTCTTTTTTATTAGACGTGGTTATTAGAATATTCATATCATAGTCCCCAGTCATTGATATTCATTTGCCACAGACTCTCTTGTTACAAATTCAAAATATCACAGTGAAATTTTAAATAGTCTGAAAGTCACGTTCATTATTTTCATAGTGAAGTGCTATAGTTCATTGGTTTGGGGATTCTGGCTCCTGAGGGTTAGATAGCTCACTGATATTTGTTCAAACTCAGATGTTTAATTAACATTATTAGCAGCCACATGTGACTCAGTTCATTAGCAGTGAATTGTCCTTTCATACTGCTGTGGTGACACACTGAAGCATGAGCTTGGGAGAACAATGCCAGTTGTGCAGAACTAGAAAATAAGTCAGCAGCCACCATAGTGCTGTTTTCATTTAGTTATGTTCTTACTGGTCAGCAGGAGAGAATGGGGAAATAGGCTGTCTTGTGTCACAGACATCTCATCAGTGATCAAGTACCCAGATCATATTTTTTTACAAAAGCCATGCAAGTCCTGGTACCCTCAACTATTTCTTAACATTTTTCACATAGCTTACCAAAGTATAAGCCCACACTGACTCAGATGTTTTTGTGTCCTGTACACAGTGACTGACAGTGAAAAAAATCCTTTTTTTTAAATTTAAAATGAAATCTAAAATAATTTTTAAATGAACTAATAGGGATGGCCCAAAGTTGTCCATCTTACCTCATCGTAGATGCTGTCATTGTGCTTAAAATCCCCAGCCTTCCTGGGCAGCACGTGGACGTGGACATGCTGTAAACATACAAACAAGGTTTAGATATTGTGGTTGATCTGGAGAAAATCTTACTTTTTCCTGGGAGCACTATGACAGAGTTTCACAGTATGCTGGAGAAGCCATCAGAATGTTACTGGCATGGCACAAATCACCGGAGGGTGAGGGTGCATTTCACCAAGCAGGGATTTTTTATTTTTATGTTTTTAAGAATTGACCTGACTTTATTCTAGGACCCAGGAGCAACAGATAGCTAACAGTTTTTGCTAATATACAATTGTACTATATACCTATACTACTGAGTATATCACTTTACAGTAGGTAACTAGTAATTATGCATTTTATCTACAATTTACAAAGAAATAAAAAGACAAATTCAGACCACTCCAATATAAAACTATGTTTTAGCAGCAGTGTTCTGGGTCCTTTGAAATTCAGAACCATTGCTTTTACATATCTTTATTTCTTGGTTTTGAGTAATTTTGCCATATTAATCTACACTGATGTCATAATCTGTAGTAAATGTTTTTACTTCATTAATTAAACTATTATTTTGTTTGTTGGCTGTGTTTACTTTAGAAGTAGAATTTCCCCAATTACGGGATAAATACATTTGCCTTTAAAATACAGAAGGTGTGTGTCTCTGAAATCCAAACTAAAAGCTCGTTCCACAGGGTCTGAAAGCTGAAGGCTCTGCATCCTAGAAATGCTACCCCACAAATAAATCAAACAAAGCCTAAGAATAAAGTGATAAGGATAATGTGGTACTATGAGATCTTTAAGATAAGATTGGGCCTCATAATTCAAGACCTTGTGTAACCCAGTGTTAAAAACAGGATTAAAAGTATAAATATTCATACTCTCACAATGGGAATAAATATTGATAAAAACAAAGTTAATTATAATAAATACTGATAAAAAGCATGTAAATATAAGTTTAATATGTACATATGTATATGTAATGTATAAATGGTGTGGGGGCAGGACTTAGTCCTGTAGAGTGTGTTTGTCAGATCCACTGAGCAACCAATCATTGGCCGGTCTGACCCTCCCCCAGACTGTGCGCTGCTCAGACACCTGTGTGTGCCTTCGTGATAGAGATAAAGACAAAGAGGTATTTGAGTTTCTGGAGCAACATGGTACTATTCGTAGAGTACTCGCTGTCGATGATGACTCTTCTGCATTCCACAAAAGTCAGATTGTAGAGTTCGAGTCCGGTGCAGCCGTTGAAATATTAGCACCTAAGCTGCCTTACCTCTTACAGTCTACTGACAATCCAGATGTCAGTTACCGCATTCGAGCCTTAACTGACGTCTATACTAAGACCGTAGGGGGCAGTGTTACTGAGGCTTACATTAGCAACCTGAAGGGTTTAGCCAAGTTAAGTGGGAAGGATTTCGAAGAAGTGTTGCGGGAGGCCCTATCCACAATAGGGAAGACCATTGAAGCTGCTGAGACAGCTGAGATAAACCCTGAAAATGATGCTGCTGATCAGACTTGCCCTGTGGTAGGATCCACACAACTTGGAGCCTCACCTTCAGTCTTAACTGAACTGCCTCACCCTCCTGAACCCATTCAGGGCGCATTCCCACGCCCCATGAGACCAAACTTGACACCTCAAATGTTGAGTCCAACTGACCTCAACCCACCAGAGGTTCAGAAAGTAGTAGTCGAGCATGTTGTCAAGAGTGTTGAAAAGACATCACATGCTCACTCTACATTAAGACTCAGAGCTTTCTCTGGCAAGATGCCCAGACCTTACAGTGAAGCTGACTATGAAACATGGCGTTCTCATGTTGACTTGTTGATGGAAGATGCTTCTTTGTCTGAGTTGGGAAAAACTCGTAAGATTCTTGAAAGTCTCCTTGCTCCCGCTTCTGATGTCATCCGCCCTCTTGGGCCAGAAGCCACTCCTGCAGACTATCTTAACCTTCTGGATTCAGCTTTTGGCACCGTCGAAGATGGTGAGGAACTGTTTGTACGTTTCATGAACACCCTCCAAGATCATGGTGAAAAGCCCTCTGCTTATCTGCTTCGTTTGCAGGTGGCAGTCAATCACACCGTGCGCAGAGGTGGGCTTGAACCACATGAAGTAAATAAGCAGCTTCTTAAACAGTTTTACAGAGGCTGCTGGGATGATAACTTGCTAACGGAGTTGCAGTTGGAGCTAAAGCATAAGGAGCCACCCACTTATGCAGAGCTATTGCTTCTCCTGCGTACTGCAGAAAACCGACAAGAAGTTAAAAACACGCGAATGAAGAAACACTTTAGCGCCACGAAACCAAAAGCAGTGTCTCATGAACAGACGGTCACTGAAACAAATGCAGATGTTCGTCAAGCACAGTCAGATAGTCTAGAAGAGCTGAAAAAACAAGTTGCCGATCTAAAAAGCCAATTAGCTGCCGTTGTGAAGCCAAAGAAACAAGCAACACTGAAGACAGTTCGAACAAGGAAACCTGAAAATAAAAAACCTGACCATGCCAAACCTGAAAACTCACCTCCATCCAGCCGCCCTAGTACTAGGCCCAAGCCCTGGTATTGCTTCCGCTGTGGGGAAGATGGACATATAGTAGCCACTTGTGAGTCAGAGCCCAATCCTGCCGTTGTAGTTGCAAAACGAAGGGAATTAAGAGTGAGAAGGCAGATATGGGACAGGCAGAATGACCAGCTTTCTTTAAACTAAATTCTGCCTCCGTTGCGGGACAAATGGAGGCTGATGCTTTGTTAACCCGTCCCACCCAGGTTAAACAAAAAGCTTCACCTAAAAAGCGTGCCAGCCTAAAGTCACACACAAGATCAGATTCCTTCGACTTTCCTAAAGGTCTAATTGGTACAAAGAGTACTGCACAAGTGAAAGTTAATGGTCACACAGTGAGTTGTTTGCTAGATACTGGTTCCCAGGTGACTACAGTCCCTGAGTCCTACTATCGTCAGCATTTGTCCTCTCATGAGATTAAGCCATTGTTTGAACTTTTAGAAGTTGAGGGTGCCAACGGTCAGTCTGTGCCTTACTTAGGCTACATTGAACTGCATGTCACTTTCCCAAAGGACTTCCTTGGCATTGAAGCTGAAGTGCCGACACTTGCCTTAGTTGTCCCCGATGTGCGCACAGCTTCTCAGTCCTTAGTGCTAATTGGGACAAACACATTAGATGTACTTTATGAGCTGTACTCTAACACATGCCATGAACTGCAGCTGAACCTGCCATATGGCTATAGGGCAGTTCTAAAAGTTCTTGAGTCACGACACAAACAGTCCAAAGACAGTAGTCTTGGTTTAGTGACGATGCACAACAAAGAGCCACAGTTGATTCCAGCAGGCCAAACTGTTGTTCTAGATGGTGCTGTAGCTGTGTCAGCCGGTAACGGTGAAAAGTCTGTCTTGTTAGAGTATCCACGAATGTCAGCCTTACCTGGTGACATCCTTGTGAAACCTTGTCTCATAGACCTACCTGAACGAGCACCTTACCTTGTTCCAGTTATACTCACCAATGAATCCGAACATGATGTGACAATCCCTCTAAATTGTGTCATCGGAGAAGTCAGTGCATATCAAAGAGTTCTATCTCACGAACACTCAGTGAGAACTCCAAGATCCCGAACTGAGCAGAAGTCAAATGTAACATATAACTTTGACTCTTCCCCTATTAGCACTGAATGGAAGGAGCGCATAACCGAAAAGCTAAGCCAAATGCCCGAAGCGTTTGCACAGAATGATCTTGACTTTGGAAAGACGGATCAAGTGAAACACACAATCAGATTGTCAGATGAAACACCGTTCAAGCATAGAGCGCGTCCCATACATCCAAACGACCTGGAAGCAGTCCGTAAGCACCTCAAAGAACTGCAAGAAGCTGGCGTGATCAGGGAATCTACCTCCCCTTTCTCTTCACCCATTGTAGTCGTGCGGAAGAAAAATGGTGAAGTCCGCCTCTGTATCGACTACAGAAAGCTTAACGCGCAGACTATAAAAGATGCTTAC